GAAAACTGAAACAGAAGAGAAGAGACATGAAAGCCTTCTATCGCTTCTCAACAGCAGCAGTAAAAATAATAATAATGATAATAATTCGTTTTTTTCTTAGCGGGAATAATTGAATATCCAGTATAACGAATTTATATTAAAACAAAATAAGCATTAAAATAAGGATGTAAACTACAACTAACATTATAATTACCATTAATGGGCATTAATGTGAATATATATTTTAAAACAACCTGAGTTGAAAGTATGAAATTGATATTTTTCAGCAATATAACATTTTGCTCTATAACCGGTTCTGGAAGCTAAAACCAAACGTGTCGGCCCAAACAACACGTCTCCTACCGCGTTGTTGCAGCTCCACGCGTGTACTCACCTCAGGCGCTGCAGAGCCCCGCCGCTCTCCGTCATGACTCCACCAGCAGCACGGGTGTTTCTGGCTTTTATAGCGGGGCTCTGTGCGTGAATGCACAGCTTGTCTGTTAGTGATTAGGGTCTAGCTTGGCCTGGTCTGACCTCGATGGGCAGAAATGGCAGAAAAATGAAACGACTGTGGAGTGAGCAGGGGCGTTTCCAACGTTTTTCTGTGGGGTGGCACAGAAGGGGTACAGAGAAGGGCTGGGCTCTCACTCATGCAGATTTAATACATGTTCAAGAGTCTTAGGTAAAATTCACAATCCTACAGGAAACATGTAAATAAAATATTCGGGAAGTTATTTGGGAAATGACATAAGGAGATTTAGTGACTTTGCCCTGCACTGGTCCTGTACATGGCCTCGTACCACCTCCTTGTACTACTGAGGTTGACACCTGCATGATTTCTGTTGTGAACTGACACTTTATGAATAAAACTGAACTGTACTGAACAATTAATGTGAGTTTTATAGTGCACAACGAGCAGAAAAGATCAGACAGAGCATGTGATTCCAGCCCAGACTTACAGTTTTATATTCTCAAAGACATTTGTCCTAAAAGGCCGACCAAAAAACACTGACATGAAGCAATGACAATGATCCACTAAGACTTAAACGTTTTATGAAGAATATTCTCGCAGCTAACAGATTGAAGATTGAAGGCAGAGCTCGGAGATGGTAAACAGCAATTCATAGCTCATATATTTTTCATTTAGAAAATATGGCTAAGGTCAGACATATTTTATTCATACTCCTGAGTCATCCCTTATTACTCATCATGCGCTCTCGAGCACCCAAATTTTGATCATGCGATTTCAAATCCTAAATAAAAACTCAACAAAACAGACTCCCAGCTTTTCTAAGCTGATATTTTGCACAGTTATCAGTAGATTTCTGCTAAACACAACAGCTTGCATGGCAGCAAGTCTGCTCTGCATGTTGTCAGTATTATTATCTGTGAGAGAAACCCCCTTCCGTCATTGCTACTGGATAAACACTGACACACTGCTGAAACACAAAGCTGCTACTGTTTATGCTTCTTCAAGCAAGCTGACAGAGCGGCACACAAACAAACAGCCACGTTATATAAGTATTACACAAGATCTGTCATATATACAATAGAGGCACAATGTGTAAAACCAAAAACAACACACACACAAAATCTCGCTAAAGGGCCGCAGTCCAAAACTTAAAAGAGGGTTATGTAACGTGCTTAGTGGCAGAGAGGAGACAAGAGTATCATCTGTTTCTGTTTCTGTTTGTTCGTGCAGCCGGATGCTGTTACAGTTACAAATCCTCTGTTGTAACGCCGTCTGGCCCAATCAGTGTTGGTCAAGTTACTTGGAAAAAGTAATTAGCAACTAATTACTGATTACTCCTCAAAAAAAGTTATCCCAATACTTTATGGATTACTTACTTCCAAAAGT